CAACAGTTCCCTTTTGCCTTTCTGTGCTCTTTTCTCTTCCAGTCCCGGACTCACCATCTTCCTTTCCCTCCAGGTGCTCTGTATTCCAGGAAGTTCACCATAGATGGGGAACAGATCTCTCTGCAGGTGCAGGACACTCCCTTTGTCTCACTGGAGGTAAAACATCTGCTCAGTGCTTTTCCACACAGTTGTTGTCTCATGGTTGCTCCATCTCTAAGTGACTCCACCTAGCAGCAGGAAAATACCTTGGCCTAAACCCAGGACTCGTGGGGGTACCTTAAGCCCCACCTAATAGGCCTTGAGTGGTTAAATCAGGTGCCTTTAAGAGTAAGTCAAAATTAACCCATATCTGTTTCAAACACATTAGTGCATCCCGAGATTAAACAGCAGGAAAATCATAATCTTGGGAAATCATAACTCCTTGGTTGTTTTATTTCCTGTCAAATGGTTTCTGTCCCTACGTGGCAGAAAACTCACCTGCCCAGAGGCCCAGCTGGCTCAGCTCAGACCTTGTTACACACCCAAAGTCTCTCTTATATAGAAAAGTTTCCCTTTCCAAGGGGAGAGGCCTCACAGCAGTTGTCATTTTCAGTGCCTTTTCACTTGCTTTGTTTTTAATTAATTCCTTATTTTTAGGGTGTTGGCATTTATCTACACCACTCTATCAGTGTTTTTTGATATTCTGTTGGACTCAAGGATCTTAGAGGTCTTTTCCAACATTAATAATTCTACGATATTCTAGATTTCATATTTCATTAGGAACCTGTTTCTACAAACGTTTTTCCAAGCAGGATTTAAGATTAAGATGTCTTTCCTGAAGACCTGCTTCACACGCAGAACAGGAGGATGAAAATAGGGTCAAAGCAGCAGGAAATGCAGTGAAATTTGGTTTTACATGAATAGTGGAAATCTTACGAGAGCAATAATTCCTATAGAATAGCTGAGATGTCATGATAAAATCAGGTCTTCTCTTTCCACCATCAAGCCTAAACTTCTAGGTGTGGCCTTTACCTCAGTCTAAACTTAGACTTGGCCAAACACATCTGGATGGGAACAGCACCTTCTCTCCTCCTCTTTCAGGCCGCCCTGGACAGCTCTGTACACTTGTTTGACCCGCCCAGCCCCAGGGGTGCATTTCTGGGCTGGAGAATGCTCCAGCCTGGGTTTGCAGGACGGGACGAGCAAAGCTCCCCCAGCCTCAGTTCCCATTTCCAACTTCTCCCATGACTGGAAGCAGATTAAGTGGAAAGCTTTGATGAGGTTCCACACTCTGCTGCCTCCAGGGGACACAGAGGGAAGAGAGGAGCCCTCATTTGCTCTGGACACTAAAAAGCAAACAAAAGCTGCTGTGGAAGTGCTCCAGATATTCAAGTGGGACTTCACAGCACACAGGCCCTTTGCCAGCTTGCTAAGGCAGGACCTGCAAAAAGGAGCTGTGAGTGGGGATTAGGCACAACTGGTGCTGCCTAATGAGCCCTTCACACAGGGAATCCCCTATCCCTTCTATCCTAGGGAGAAAAGAGGGAGTGGAATGATTTAATTCTCTCTTTCAGACCACATATATGTTATTTTCTAGTTCTCTTCTAATTAAGGCTGTGCCTATAGTTCAGTGACTCTACTCAGAGCTCCACAAAATTCCATCTTGCCAACAGCTGAGGTTCCTCAGTCAGACACGATTTTAACTTAGTTAGGAAGGAGTTTCACTTTCTTTGTCCCAGTCAAAGATCTGGCTGTCCCAACAGTTCCCACAGACACCTGTATCTTATAAAAGCCTGCGTCTGTGTGCATCAAATGGTGCATCTTGCACTCTGCAGGCTGAGTACAGTGTTCCAGGAGGAAGTCATGTGGAATCCCTCGGGATTCAAGCCACCAGAAATGTTAATGTTTAAGAAAGAAACAGAAGCAAGCAGATAACTGGCTTTGTTGGGTGATTCATTGCTGGTCTATACATGGCAAACGGCTGTGTGTGCTTCAAAACCCATTCTGGAGCAGAGATTTCCATTTAAAAAGTAGCCCATTAGCCTTTGATTTTCCCGAATAAAGCATTCCGCTGGGGACTCTGCATCCCTCTCCCTCCCGGGTGGGCCCTGCTGGGGTAACTGAGCATTTCTGCTCATTAGGGCTCCCTGAGCGTTCACCTTCTCCAAACGCATTTCCAAACGCTTGCCAGAGCAATTAGCGCTTTTTATTTCTGCCGTGAAAGGAGTTCGGTGGTGAAAAGAGGCTTCCAGGCCGTGGAGGGTGGTTAATTATCCCCACCCTGGAGACAGCCCTGACACCAACAGCGCAAATTGCCCTTCTTCCCACAGCCTGCCCCGGCCCGGCCGGGCTGCACCTCATTGACCTCCCGGCAGGGCTGCGAGGAGGGTCCTGCTCTCCACGGGCAGCTCTGCTGGGCTCGGGGGCTCGGGGCGAGTGAGGAGGGCCTTTGTTACACGGTTTCACAGGATTTACCTCGCTGAGCTGGCAAGGGCAGGGAACGGCAAGGTGTGATGAGCCAATGTCTCTGTGGGCAATCCTGAAATATTCCCAAAGAGCAGTTCGTTGGCAGAACTCCTGATGGAAGTTGTAAGGCTAATTTATACTCTGAGCTTTCAGAAATTCTGCTTCCTTTTTCCCACAGAAGAACTTGTCAGTAGTTCTTTTTTTACTGTCTGATCTGTCATGAAAGAACTGATTATTTTTACTCCTTTTCTACCTCTGCTTCCTGAAGTTGGGCTTTATAATCCATATTTAGGTGCCTAAATGAAAGTGATCTCTTTGGGGTGATTGCTGAGCATATGCAAATTCTGTTAAAATGAGTGTGAATGGCAGATATTTATTTTGTAGATAATGGAGCATATGCTCTAATAGTTGATGAAAATTTCTCGAGTGGAATTTAGCAACAATAATAAAAGTTCGAGCTCTGTATTTATGGTGTTGAACTCACCTCAAAATACCCCTAATTCCTACCAGGTTCATCAAGAGCCGAATACAGAATATTCTTGGTGCCTTGTTGGATAAGAAAGCAATGCCAGAGTTCCAGAAATCCTGTAATATTGACAGGGATGTCAGTCCTTACACACCCAGCAGGCCGGCAGTGGCTGCAGCAGGGATCTCCCTGGGTGGGTCACAGCCAGCAGGGATAACAAAGGGCAGAGGATTAGCTGGAAATAGCTTCATCTTGAAAAGTGAGCTGATCTGTTTTCAAGCCCTGCAGTGTCTCATTCAGCTTTATGTTCCCAGTGCTGGGCATTGTTGTGGCTTGTGAGTAGGATGGGGATGGGCTGAGCAAATGGGTGACCAGCAAAAAATAATATGAACCCATCGCTGCTCTGCAAACCAGCAGGGAGATTTCACCTCCTTTCCAGTTCCTGGGATTGGTTCTTCATAAAAAATTGCTTTTTCAAATGCCTTTGACTGTCTGGAGATGGGCAAGGCAGGAAAACCCCTCAGGCTTCACCAGACAGAGTTAGTGAGAACCTCTGTCCATAGAGACTGAATAAAGGATTGGAAAACACCCTAAAATACACCTTGAGGGACAACTGTGTGCCAAGCCTGCTGAATTTTATAATGCCCTTTGTGTGCCCAGGACAGTTTTATCCACAACATCAGCGTGAGTTTCTGATGGGTTTGGTACCGTGGAACACAGAGCAAACTTTCCAACAGCAGTATTTTGGCTGTTCTCTTCTTTTCAACCAGTTTGCTCTGACCCCTCTCCACTCCACTCCACCTTACTGCTGACCTGCAGTATGTTCACAGAATTGTGAGAAATATCTCTAATTAAACTTTCAAAGATGGCCAAATAACATGAAAGAAAGACCTTTAATTTCAGCGGGCTGGGTGACTCAACCTCGTGACCAGGTCCGAGCACACCTGACTGGGAGGGGACAAGCCTTTTTAAGGTCTCTTGATTTACATAACTGCCAGGCTCTGCTCACCTCTTCCTCAAAAGGCAATCCTTGCCTTTTGGTGGGTTCATTGCTTGTTCCCATCCACCTGTCAGGTTGTTTCCCTGCCCCTGGCCGCATGGTCCCCTGGCAGTGACCCAGTGGGTCTCACTGCCCTACATGCTTTCCGATTCACCTTCCTACTAGACCAGTAAGCAAAACAGTGAGTCAGCAGTAGTAACAGTGACCAGAACCACCAGAACAATCAGAAGAGGAAACAAGGCAGTAAGCAGCAGTCAGTAACAGTGACCAGAACAACATGCAACCCACCAGCTCCTGACCACAAAATGGCTCTTCAATCTCCCCAGATAACCTCCAGGTATCTCAACATGAGGTAACCATGGAAATCCCTGCTTGTAATAAAGCCATCTTATTTATTTTTCACAGAATCACAGAATTACAGAATCACTGAGGTTGGAAAAGGCTCTGAGATCATCGAGTCCATCCTGTGCCCCATCCCCACCTTGTCCCCCAGCTCGGAGCAACATCCAGTCCTTCCTTGGACACCTCCAGGGGTGGGGACTCCACCACCTCCCTGGGTAGTGCCTGCCAATGCCTGACCACCCTTTCTGTGAAGAAATTCCTCCTGATGTCCAACCTGACCGTCCCCTGGCACAGCCCAAGGCCGTTTCCCCTTGTCCTGTCCCTCATTCCCTGGGAGCAGAGCCCAACCCCCGCCCCCCCCCTCCCGACTCCCTCCTCCTGTCAGGGAATTGCAGAGCCAGAGGGTTCCCCCTGAGCCTCCTTTTCTCCAGGCTGAGCCCCCTGGCCCGATGTGACGGGGGTGTCCCCTGTCCCTGGTATGTTGGGAGAAGTTTCTGCCGGTGCAATGACCAACAGCCTCACCCCGACCCCACGCTCCAGTCCCGCGGCACCGCCGTGGCTCTCTCTGCTCCCTGTTTTCCTAACATCCCCCTCTTGCTTTGGCACAGGATGACACCGACAGCATCTGCTGCCAGGAGCAGATAAACCGCTCCATCTACTGGGCCGACGGCTTCGTGTTCGTGTACTCCATCACGGACTACGAGAGCTACCGCGTGCTGCGCCCGCTGCACCAGCACATCCGCAGGATCCACCCCAACGCCAACATCCCCCTGCTGCTCGTGGCCAACAAGGGCGACCTGCTGCGGGCCAGGCAGGTGTCCTCCAAGGAGGGGCTGCAGCTGGCCGGGGAGCTGGGGGGCACTTACCACGAGGTGTCGGCCCGGGAGAACTGCGAGGGCGTGCACGAGGCCTTCCAGCAGCTGTGCCAGGAGCTCAGCAGGATCATCGGCAGCTGCAACGGAGAGAAGCGCCGCGGCCTCCACCTCATCCGGCCCAAGTCCCCCAACATGCAGGACCTGAAGAGACGCTTGAAACAGGCCCTGACCTCCAAAGGGAAATCTGCCACCGCGCTCTGAGGGAGCCACAGCAATTGTTTTCCCCAGAAAGGCGACGAGCTGTAACAATTTAGGTTGTGTGAGAGGCTCTTCCACTTGGTCTTTACATTTTCCTATAAAGTCTGAGCTGGTTCTGCAAAGAAACCTGCAGAACTTACTGGGTCTGCAGAGGAACTCACAGAATTTGCTCTTTGAGACAAGAATTTGCAAACTGCGATTTTTAAAAATAGGTTTTGTCCCCAGTTATTTCCATTTTGAAAGGGACATAGTCAAATGGTTTAGTCTTCAAAAGTGGATTTCATTAATAAAAGTAATTAAATCCTGCTTCTCTTGGGGATGGTGGTGTTCCCAAACACAGGCAATGAACTGCAGCAGGGCATGAGGAGAACAACGTGAGCTGTACTGAGCAAGCAAAAGGTACGAGATTTGTTTGGTCACAGGAGTGGAAAATAAAGGCAAAAAGTCAATGAAGAGCATAAATAGCAAAAAGTAGTAACTGAAAGGTTTTAAACGGCAGTTTAGAAAGTGTTCTTAGAAACTTAGGGAGAGATTTGTTCAAATGCAAGCTTCAGCCTTACAGGGTCTCTTCAAAGGGAGCTTTTATATCACTATTTTTCCAGGTTATTTTTCTTTAAAAGCATGTTGACTGTTTTTGAAAGCGATTATTTGGGCAAAATAGGTCCTTGGAGCAGCATTTTGTAGGCAGTTTCTCACACTTCTCATTCTTTTGAAGGCTTCCTACATGGCAATAAGAGAGGGACAAATAGATCAGAGTGGTTTAAAATCTGCCCAAAACCAGACTGTATTGATCAAGAGCAAGGAGGTCACCCAAAACTACTGAACTTTTTTTTCCCAAGCTAGTTAGACTTCAAGTTCAAGATGCTGTTTTAAAGAAACAAGGCCTTCATGTGAAGTATGTTTAAATCATTAGTTTTGGGGGCTTTTTTGAAGATGAAAATGTTTTATGATGCCTGAAATTTTTGGCTTCATGAATTCCTGATTTTGTTGTTTTCCTGAAGACCAGACCTCCCTGGGTACCTCACAGAGCATCCAGATCATATTAACATACACTTCAGTGGCAGTGCCTCAGTTGTGTCCCAGCATTCCAAAGATTTGAAGCTGTATCCCATGAGCTGCCCTGGTGTATGGGTCCAGTAACAACAACATGAACTTCCATAATTCTGTTCTCAGTGAGAGGGGTTGGACCAGGTAAAATTCATGATGCAACAACCCTTCCTTCAAACAGACCTATGTGAGCAACTCACAGGACCATGAAGTGAAGCTCAATGATTTATACTCAGAGACACAGAAGGGAACCTCCAGGTTTGATGGATATACAAAAACACTCCCAGCTGCAGTTTCAGCTGGAAATACTGAGCTAAATCAACCTTCTACTCATCCTGAGCAACACAAATGTAAATTGAATCTGATGAGGATTTGTGGAGCCCAGGACTTGAAAATGTATTTTGTATTTGTTGTGTCCCCACATTAGACAACTCTGCTCACCTGGATTGCCTTTATCTAGAGCTCACTTTCTGGTTTATTTATTGTTCTCCACAGCTGGGCATTGAGAATGTCTTGTGTTCTGATTAATTTTAAATTCTTTAATTCCCACAAATGACCTGCACCTGTTTTTAAATTCAGTTTCAAGTGGTGGTAGGAGGAGAAAAGGAAAGTTCAGTCACCCAGATGGGGTCTCCAAGGATGTCAGGGGATTTCTACTTTGGCTAACGGTTAATTAACAGTCTGATGTTTGAGCAGTGTCACTAGTCATCACAGGCACTTCAGAATGGTATTTATGGCACAGAATTTCAATGTTTTAAGTTACTGATAGCACAGCTCAAATATTGAATCTAAAGATTTAATAGCTCAAATATTGAACCCAAAGATTCAATATCATGAAACAGAGCAGTTTGTCAGAGACATACAAACCGAAGTATTTTTCTATTGGAAAAATGATCACCAATTTTGAATGGCAATTAAGTATTTTGCCATCCCAGGGCTGTATAACAAGGGCTAAATGTGCTGAAGACAATTTGCTGACATTTGTTTTCATAAAAGCCTAAGAGGTTTTGGTGCTCCAGCCTGTGAGATTTGTTTTAACTCACTCCTTCAGCTCTGATCCTTTCTTATTTGGGAAGAAAGTTCATCCAATTTCAAACCTGTCAAAGTTTATTTTCATTAGTGATTAATAAAACCATGCAAGGTTTTTCCTGAGTAGTGGATAAAATGGCTCCTATATGTCTCACATCTTTAAATATTCCTTGTTTACACTAGACTAAAATATATTGGTTTCCCTTCTTGCAATCTCAGACACCCTGCTTTGGAAGCACACACAAATATTCCTTACATAAGTAAGTATTCCCACATTCCTGTTGGGAAAAAAATGCTACATTTTAGCTAAAGCAAAAAAATATTGAAACACTTAAGTCTTCTCTTAAATACTAATATGTGGCAAACATTTATTCTGCTACAGAAACTTCCGTGTTTCCTTTGTTTGACCAGCAATACAAATCCTGGAGTGGCTTTGACACTGGTTCTAAGCCAGGGTGTACCATCTCCAGAAGGCAATAAAGCTCAGTATTTATTTTGGGGGGCAGTACTTGAGCCCCAGAACATCCCTGCGCCACTGAAGGCAATGGCAGGAGGAAAAGCAGGGAGAAAAGAATGCTATGGAATCAAGTGCCTAAAAATAATCATGTAAAAGATCAAAGTTTAGTCATGTAGAACCTGATCCTGAATTAGAAACTTCAGGCTGCCAGGGAAAAACATGTATTCACTGAAGGTTTAAATTAACCCAAGAGAGAGAGAGAAGGTACTTGACATAAAGTCAAAAGAGGAAAGGAAAAACAGATTTGGGAGTGTGGGGTGTTTTTCAGATATCAAAGAAAATTTTCTTCTCAGTTACATTGATTCAGTCCGGATTAACCCCACTGCCAGCAAGAGCTGGAGAATTTCTTTTTTTGAATTTTTTTCCTCCATCCGTCATCATTCTCCTGAGCACTTTAAACCTTCAGCACCATCTGGTTTTCAAGATGCTTTACAGCTGGGTTTGCTTGGGCACAAAGCAGCCGAGTGACTTGCCCCAAGGTTACACAGCTGAGCAAGCACTTGAGAGGAGCTCAAACCCCGTGTCCTTTGTAATTAATTCTCAACCCTTTACAGCAGCTGCCAGGCCATGCACCTCCCTCCAGGTATGCACAGAGCACAGAGAGTTGTGTTACCCAAGGATGTAATTAAAAGTTGGGAGAAGTGACGGAAACAACAGGCTGTGGTAGGACCTGACTGAGCTGAAGGCTGGCACTGAGCAGTTACAGCAACCCTGGGAGTTATTGAGGGGATTTGGAAATGGTTATTTTCTGCCCTGTCGCTGACAGTTGCATTTCTCACACGTTTCCAGTGGTTCCCCACGGAAATACAGTGGGACCTGGGAGATGGGAAAGTCAGGCTCTATTCTTAACTTTTGCTGTGACTTGCCTGCTGCTCTTGGCCAGATCTCTTCACTGGAGTCACTGTGTCCACAGGTGAGGGGAAGGGTATGGACACGTCTGTCCCACCCTCAGCACCCACAGGAGAGGGTCAGCCATGAGAAAGAAAGGAATTGCCCACACTGCAGCAGGGAGAGACGAAATATTGACAGCAGAAGTCACATCTCACTTCTGCATTCCTTAAACACTGAGCTGTCTGGATCCCACTTTTACACTGAAGCAGAGGTTCAGAACAGAAAATTCAGACCCTGATTTCAGGGACCAGCTCAGACAGGAATGTTTGTATCCAGGGCACCTGGCTGCTCCTAGCATTGGTGTCAGGTGTACAAATGAAGAGGAAAGAGTGACTTCCTGAGGCATCAAAAGGAATCTGGGCTGCACCAGGAATCCGCTTGTTTTCCGAGGCAAACTGGAAGGCTGCCAGCTGATTGTTTCTGCTAGATTTCTCTCTGCCCCCTGGTAAGGTAGAAGATTTTGAGTGAGGGTCCCCCTGACCGTGGCAGAGCTGTTTGCAGGGCCAGCACAGGCCCTGGAGCAGCAGAACACAATGGCACACTTGCTAACTTTGAGCTGTTGGTGCATTCTCAGAGTGCTCTGAGCTGGGCCTGTCTCCTCTGGGGCCAGCACAGGAAAACCGTGTCATTAAAGTTACAAAAGATCTCCAGTTTCACTTCAGAAGCCTCAATATCAGGGACAATGGGGCTAGAGAATATGATCCAATCTATCAGTAGTGGAGGCAAAGCAAGACTCTTCCTTTGGTAATTCCCCCCACCTTGTTCTCACTGGCTCTGCCCTCTTTGTCCCTCTCCATTCATGCCTTTGTTCTCATTTAACTTAGCAAGCAAAAACTTCCTCAATTCTTCTTCCTTTGGTTTAGAAACAGATTTTTTGCTGGTTAGTTTCAAATTTATTTCCCAATATTTGAACTCCAAACATGGTTTATAGAGAAAGAAAAGTGTCTACTTAGTCTTTTGACCTTATTTACACAAAGCATTTTACAGCACAGCTAAATGAAGTCAGTAAAACTCTGTATTTAGACAAACTCTTGAATTCCTGCCATTTCTCCCCAGTGCTCCCACTGGCTTAGCCCAATGTTTCCTTCCCTTGTTTTGTGCTTGATATTGAGCTCATTAATATGGTCATTGCTCACTTAAACCTACTCAGTTCTTAAGTTTTGCTGCTCCCTCTGAAATCCCTTTGGTTCAGCCAAGCAGGTTCTCTTCTCTAAGCAGCTGTGCAAGTGGCAGATGAGCTCAGGACAGCTGGGGATTTTCTGCTTTGTCAGATTTTTGCCCATTATTGAAGATTTTAGAATAAACAGCAGCATGGAAAGCACAGCAGCAAACCCAGTTCTAGTCTCCCTTCATCTGTCAGCCTCCTTTGGTGCAATAACTTCATCCATCATGAAGTGGACAAAGTTCATCCTAAATGATGGTGCTTCAGTTTTTCCTGCAGATGGAAAACCACCAAATATGAAGCAGAGAGATGAGCTGATGGGCTCTGTAAACCCTGGGACCCAATTCGTTCAGGAGCTGTCATATCAATCTCCTTTTCTTTAGAAGATACATTTTTTACATTTTCCTTCTTATCCAAGTGGGTTTCAAGTCTCAGGCTCTGGATCTCGTCACAGAGACACTTCCAGTCTCCTCAGGCAGGTCAGGGGGAAGCTGCACATTTTCTGAAGATGATGCCTTGTGCTGTTATTATGGATGATTGTGGAGACTGTTCCTAAGGACGTTTTTCTTCTCTCTGGGCAGTCATGCAGAACACTCACAATCAGTAACCAGTCATTTTGAAAAGATATTAGGGGGTTTTTTGCTGAATCTGGAGACACACTGTACCTTCTCTGCTGGTTACAAAGCTCACCAGATAAGCAGAGGTTGGGCTTTTTCTGGGCTTTGAACTCTCACAAAGAGGGTTGAATTATGTCACTTTTGACTGGGATCCAGGTTTCCAGATGCTTGCAGGAGCCACCACTCCTCACAGTGTTCTGCACTGCATTTCACTTCAAAGCTCAGTATTTTCCTGTGCCATGAGGAAAAAGCGGAACTATTTTGGAATATCCCACTGAAGTGCAACAGCCTCTTCCCTTGCCTGCCTCTCTTTGGTGAAGATCGTGGTTTTACATTTGCTGGGGACTGAAACTCATACTCGTGCTCTCTGAGCAAAGGGCTTTGACCAGATTGCCCAGAGGAGCTGTGGCTGCCCCATCCCTGGAAGTGTCCAAGGCCAGGCTGGACGGGGCTTGGA